TGCTAGAAACTTCCGTGTGCAACCACAAGCTACTATGGGCTCTAGCATAGTTGATTAAGTCATGCGAACTCTTACAGTGGTAGACTAGTAGATGTAGGGGAAAGTAGGTGTAACGGTCTACCCGATCGTAAGGTGCTAGCGCTTCTGAAAAACTATGTCTCGGTCATCCGTTTCTCAAACACCATGTAGTGCGAGAACCCCAACGGAGGAGATCGAGTCTTGTGGGGAAAAGTGTGCAAACCTCTGCAGAGTGTATAAACTAATCATGGTTAGACGTGTCTCTGGTTATGGACAACCTGAGTATCTAGTACCTGGATTATCATGTGAATCTCATCATGTTACTCTAATTAATTTTGTTGGGTTTTAATGATTATGTTTAATTGGGATTGAGAGGGTGTCTACACTCTTTATGTTTAACAACTACCATGATAGTTAAATAAAAATTTATTCCTTTGCAGTAGGGAAAAATTGGCTTTACGCAAAACTGTAACCATAGAGCTTTCCACCAGCCAAATATGCATGCAGTATAGCCTTATTCCTTCATTACTCTCTATGTGTTACTGCTCCCCAAAAGGATTAATGCCATCTGCGCTTAGACCAAACCATACGTTCCTTGCGTCATCTGCAAACTCCTTCCCGTACTTTCTTTCGATTTTTCTCCACTGCGACCCGTTAGCGGGTACTCTCAACTTTCCGTCTTTCTTACGGTCTTCTCTGTGCCATCGCATCGCCTTGGCATGCTCTTTGTTTTGGAACAAACGTTTCAACCGTGGTATTATAGGAGCATACCACATCACCTTGGCAGGAATCTTCTTCCTGGGGCGCTCGCCCTCGACATCACTAGGGTCATCGCGGCTGATCTTATAGCGCAATGCACCGCATACCGGGCAAGCGTTCAAATCCTCGTACTCACCGTGGTAGAGGATGCAATCATTAGGGCATGCATGTATCTTCTGCACCTCTAACCCTAGAGGGCAGACAGCCTTCTTTGCTTCGTACGTACTCTCGGGCAATTCGTTGTCCTTTGGAAGCATATCCTTTATCATTACCAGCAACTTTCCAAATCCCTTGTCAGATACACCATTCTCTGTCTTCCATTGCAGCAATTCCAGTGTGGTGCCCAGCTTTTTCTTGTCACCTACGCAATTCGGGTACAACAATTTTTTGTGATCCTCTAACATGCGCTGCAACTTCTTCTTCTCCAAATCACTTGCGCAGTTTCTCTTTGCATCGGCAATGGCCCGACCTAGATCATCAACGGGCTCATCCGATGCCTCTTCTTCAGCTTCTTCCCGCATTGCCGGCTCAGCTTCTTCCCGCATTACCGGCTCAGCTTCTTCCCTCGTTGTTGTATCATCGTATTCAAGGAACCCATGGCCAGGATAGCTGTCGTCATCCTCTTCTTCTTCATTGTCTTCCATCATAACCCCTCTTTCTCCATGCTTGGTCCAAACATTATAGTGGGGCATGAAACCGAACTCAAACAGGTGGACGTGAATGGTTCTTGACGTAGAGTAATTGTGACCATTCTTACAGCCAGCACATGGACAATGCATAAAACCATCCGCTCGCTTGTTTGCCTCAACCGCAAGCAGAAAAGTACGCACGCCATTAATGAACTCGGGAGAGCATCGGTCATCGTACATCCATTGCCGACTGATCTTCAATACACAGCACCGAAAACATCAAATTAATACAATACATAAAGTTCATACATAAAGATCATATAACACTTAAATGCAACAAACAAATAACTCTCTAGCTAAAGAATTTAAATGCAACAACAAATGCGATCAAGATCGCAACTAAGGTAACAATTGATCCAACAACATAATGATACCAAGCCTCACTATGAATGGCATATTTTCTAATCTTTCTAATCTTCAAGCGCATTTTCTCCATCTTAATCTTGTGATCATCGACGACATCAGCAACATGCAACTCTAATTCGATCTTCTCCCCCTCAATTCTTTTCAATTTTTCCATCAAATCCTCGTTTTCTCTTTCAACTAAATTTAACCTCTCGACAATAGGGTCGGTTGGAATTTCCGGTTCAACTACCTCCTACATACAAATATCTACCTCCTAAACACGAAATGCAATGAATAGTTTTGAAAGAGAATATACCACATCCGAATCATAACCCGGACGAGGGATGACGGGGACGGATATCAAAACCATGGCACTATGTATAACAAACAACGTATGGGTAAGATAATTATACGAGTAACTATATATCCAAATCACACAAACATCATTTTTTTTATATAAAACTTCATGAACAAGAGGCTCACCACAAGGTGGTGCCGGCGACGGGACGTTGCGAGCGATCGACGGTGGTTACGACGGAGATTTAGAAGGTACTAAGTAAACCACACCTACATATGCAAACTAAGTGTTATTTTTGACCTCAAATTGCATATAAATCAAATACTAGGACATATATATAATTCCTCCCAAATTACTAAACTCAAAAATCAATCACTATATAAAGCATTGCACGAGCTAATCTAGCAATGAGAGATGAAAGGAAAAAGTTGCTAACCTTTGTGATCATTTGAATGGATGGGGGCCTTCAAATCTTGGGCAAAATATGTGATGAGCTTGAGAGGAAGAGGGAAAAGAACATAGAGGAGAGGGGAAAGGGAAAGAACAGAGCGAGCTCGGGTGGACGAAGGGTCTATGTAGGACGACCTTTAGTACCGGTTCATGATACGACCCGGTACTAAAGGTGCTGGAGGGGCCCCGAACTGACAACATCCTGCCACCACTCACTTTAGTAACGGTTCGTGGCACGAACCGGTGCTAAAGATTCGCCACAAACCGGTACTAATGAGAGAGGCCCGGCTAGCCGTTGAAACCGGCACTAATGTACACATTAGTGCTGGCTCAAATTCAAACCGGCACTAATGTGCTTCACGTTTGACCCTTTTTCTACTAGTGGGTAAGGGTAGTGTTATTAGCTTGCATAATGTAATAGTAAAAAGATGTGATGCTTTGATAAATCAAGTTTAGTCAATTCAGGTTGCTCTTGATAAGCAAACTGATCTTATAAAAAAGCAAAATCAAATCCAACTTAATGCTTCGATTGATTTGGTGAGATGTTGCATCAAGGCTTATCTTTCTGAGGCCATGACGAGTCAGAAGAGTCAAAATATTCAAAAAAAAATTAAGGAATTTTTTTGAGACTTGGTACATACTTTGACAAACCAAAATAAAGCTATATGAAATGTAGTCCTGGAGTGAACCCAATGGTCAAATTTTCTGGCTCCGCCCCTGATCTTGCATGTAATTTAGAGATGACAAAAGAAATGTCTACAATGGGTCATCTCTTAGCCTTATCTTCAATAACTAGATCTTCCTAAAAATATGGTGAGACATATTGTGCTAAGAGATCATCTCTTGTCTTCTCTCAAATAAGAGAAGACAAGCCTTTTCTTATGAGTTCTCTCTCCTACACCTCATCAATTATTCTACATGCCACTCTCAAGATAGCATCATTGTACACGCCCTAGCAGGCGCTGCACAGGAAGGCGTACGTCGGTATGTCCCGCCGCTGTATAGATAGATAGATATATAGATAGATTAGAAGATAGAATAGATAAAATAGATAGAAGGTAGATAGATAGAATAGATGCATGGCCCATAAGCCACTGGTGCATCCGGTGCACCAGTTTGGTTGTTCCACAGGATAATTTTCGTTCTCTGTTGCATGTGCCCATTAGTTTCTACTCTCACATATACGCACCCTGTACATGTCCTACCACCATTTCTCCCAACCCGGAACAGAATAGAACAAAGCTAGCAGTCACTCATAGGTAGCCACCATGGACGCGGCCTCGGTGCTTCTCCCCTTCGTCCTGGCGCTGGTGGCGATCCCGATCTTGCTCGCGCTACTCGACTGGCTGCGCCTCCCGCCGGGCCCGTGCCCGTGGCCGGTGGTAGGCAACCTGCGCCAGATCAAGCCCGTGCGTTGCCGCTGCTTCCAGGAGTGGGCGGAGCGGTACGGGCCAATCTTCTCCGTGTGGTTCGGCTCCTCCCTCACCGTTGTCGTCTCCACGCCGGAGCTGGCCAAGGAGGTGCTCAAGGAGCACGACCAGCAGCTTGCCAACCGCACCCGGAACCGCTCCACCCAGCGCTTCAGCCGCAACGGCCAGGACCTCGTCTGGGCCGACTACGGCCCGCACTACATCAAGGTGCGCAAGCTGTGCAATCTTGAGCTCTTCACGCAGAAGCGACTCGAGGCGCTCCGCCCCATCCGGGAGGACGAGGTCACCGCCATGGTCGCGTCCGTCCATCGCGCCTGCCATCGGCCCCGGTAAGCAAAGCAAGCAACCGAGATCGCACCTTTTTTATGTTCTTTTTCACCTCCGCACACTGACATTACTTATGCCATGCATTATTGTTGCTGCTGCAAATAAACTCGTACGTCGAGTGGTTGACGAATTGCTTTCTCCTGTTAGACTCGTGTTGGGATGGGAGTTCGCCGGATTAGCAAAATGTCTAACTGTTGTGTACCTTTCTTAGTGTCAAGCTTGCATGGAAAGGAAAAAGAACCCCGCAAAAAAAAGAGCACTGTTATGCGACGCTTTGGATCCGATTTCAGTACCAAAAATAATACGAGCCATCCATCGAATCGTCGTGCTAAGGCCGGATGCCAAAGCATTGTACACACTGATTCTGACAAGAAAAAACATTCATAGCAACATTTTATAAGATTCATACCATAATTCTAATTGCAACATTCATAACAATATGTTATAAGATTCATTCAACAAATATAACAAGATTTGCTAAATGAAATCAGTGTACAATATATCGTTTGCTATAGCGCGTTATAGATTCGCTATAGTAGCAGATTTTAAAGGATGCGCTATTTTGTCGTAGCACACTATTTTTTCCCTTGTTAATAACACAATTCTAATTGCAAAGTTCATAGCAAAATACTATAAGATTCATAGCAATATCGTATTGAGTTGAGTTGTAAATTAATTGTTCCAATGTTTTTAGGTAATGAAGGAAAGCCATTGGTTCTGAGGAGTCACCTTGCTATGGTGTCTTTCAACAATATAACACGGCTAGTTTTTGGGAAGCGGTTCATGAATGCAAATGGCGACATTAACGAAGAAGGGCATGAGTTCAAGAGTATTGTCAACAACGGGATAAAAATAGGTGCATCTCTCTCTATTGCTGAATATGTTTGGTACTTGAGATGGCTGTTTCCACTTAATGAGGAGCTTTACAAGACCCACAATGAGAGAAGGGATCACCTGACCAAGAAGATCATAGAAGAGCATGCGAAGGCCCTCGAGGAGAGTGGTAGCAAGAATCATTTCGTGGATGCACTGTTGACTCTCAGAGAACAGTATGACCTTAGTGATGACACAGTTTTCGGACTTCTATGGATATGATGGATGCCCCTTTATATTTAATTAATATATCTTCATACAGTACATTTTGATTTTAGTGTCATAAGATGTCCCAATTTTTAATGTGGAATAAAATATCAATGCCTTGTCAGTGCTCCCATTATTTGCATAAATGTTGCATTCCCTGCCTTTTTATTGCATTGATTGATTTTTGGGAGAAGGGAAAGTTTAGCCAAATTTACTAGATATACGTTTGGTGAGATGCCACTCTCTCAAGGTTGGTGTATGATGCTGGGATTGGAAAATGCATGTTTATTTTCTCGTTACAAATAAGGTAATGCTTTGCGAAAATACAAAGGTGAACATGGTTCCACACGCACCCATGTGAATAGTAAATACAAAGATTTTTAAAAAAAAATCTGAAATTTCGGGGTATGAAACTTAGTCGACAATTCTACTCGAGTGTGAAGTTTCGTGATCTATTGACACCTATGGTATTCTTAGTGAAGAAAATAAAATTAGGACCATACTATTCATCAAATAGTGTGTTTTTTAATATAGCTTCGATTTTGTCATTTTTGCCAAGATTGCCATGAATGTGATTTCTTCGTGAAACGAGTATACTGGTTAGCTATGTATATTATAAAAAAAAGTTCAGATTTTTTGTTTTTTCTAGTATTTTTTTGATTTTACTATTAATAAGGGGTGCGCGTGGAGCCATGTTTACCAAATCCGTGTCCAATGCTTTTTTGTTAAATACTAATTGATCACGAACTATTTCCTCCTTCACATGTTACTTGTTGGTCAAACAAATGGATTTAGCACTGATATACGTCTAGATACATTCGGCTGGGCGACAGTTAATATGAGAAGGAGGGAGTAGTATTTAGCCAAAAAAAATTGTCACACTGTGGCTCTTTATATTCGTATCTTGCAAATGCCAAACTTGTTCATACTGCTAAATCAACATCAAAGCAGTACACGATATCTGCTATGTACTGAAGTTGCAGCCTGATAATCTGTTGAGGGGGCCCTCTTGTGATTTCTTTAGTGCTTACCACCCCAAAATTTGTTCCTTGTGTTCAGGACATCATCACTACTGGAATGGATACAACAGTCATATCAGTCGAGTGGGCAATGGCAGAGCTGGTCAGGTATCCCAGGGTGCAGAAGAAGCTGCAAGAGGAGTTGGACAGTGTCATCGGCCGTGACCGCGTCATGTCCGAGGAAGACTTCCAAAAACTGCCCTACTTGCTAGCCCTCGTCAAGGAGTCCCTCCGGTTGCACCCGGCAACGCCGCTCATGCTGCCGCACAAGGCCAGCGCAAGCGTCAAGGTCGGCGGCTACAACATCCCAAAGGGCGCCGATGTCACGGTGAATGTGTGGGCGATCGCTCGCAACCCCGATGAGTGGAGAAACCCGCTGGAGTACAGGCCAGAGCGTTTCCTCGAGGAGAGCATTGACATCAAGGGTGGTGACTTCAGGGTGCTCCCCTTCGGCGCGGGCCGGAGGGTGTGTCCTGGCGCGCAGCTGGGAATCAACCTCGTGGCCTCCATGATCGGGCACCTTCTGCACCATTTCGAGTGGTCTCTGCCAGAAGGTACCATGCCGGAGGATGTTGACATGATGGAGTCCCCTGGAATTGTCATGTTCATGAGCACGCCGCTGCAGGCTGTCGCCAAGCCGCGCCTGGACAAGGAGGAGTTGTACAACAGGGTCCCGGTTGAGATGTGAGCAAGGTTTTGGATTTTGAATGATGTTTTTTTCTCGCGGGGGACCGAGATTCTAGGTTACCACGGTAACCATGAAATACTAGATAAATTTCAGGCAAAATTTAAATCAAATCTTGAATTCAAAATTATGTAAGTACCACTTATATACATTATTATTGAACTTAATATATTCAGAAACTATCTGCTGGCAGACGGGTTAGGTCCGCAGGACCGAGGGTCGAACCAGTGGCCTATATATAAGGTTGGACTCGATATGGAAAACCCTAGTTACCACTACAACATCGCTAGTTAGGTATGATATATGTTTCAGTTCCTGTTGTGTCTAACTACACATCGACCGTTTAAATTCATTTCTTTTAAGTTCCAGTATTTGTTTTACTCGGTGTATGGGTTTCTCATGGGGCGGCGTGATTTGCCGGGCGGTTTGTGAAAAAAAAACCTTGGATGTGAGCAGCTTGGAATGTTTGTTTGAGGAGTGGCTTGGAATGTGTTACACCGTTGGGCATTTGTCCCTCCTAAAAACAGGTGCTTGATTGAGCTCATGTTATTGTAAACTGGGTATTAACTTTCCTTTGAAATCGTAAAGTTACAGTTTGAGACCGTTTAAACCTCTTGATGGCTCTCGGAAAAGATGCGCCACGAGGCAACCGCCGTCTCCGTCCCGTCTCCATGAAGATACTTTATTTTGCCGAGATGCCCCCCTTGGCTCTCGGCAAATTGTTTGCCGTGTGCCAGATGGATGGTTCTCGACGAAATTTTGTTTATCTCAGAGGTGTAAGGCGAGAACTCTTTGCCAAGAACAATTCTGGGAAAAGCCTTTGCCGAGTTTATTTGGCCCTTTGCCATGTGTTTCTGGCACTCGGCGTAAAGTGAATTTATAGTAGTGTTTGTTCTACTTTGATTATGTACTTAGATGTGTATTCGCATAGAATTTTGATTTTTACTAATGATAAAAAAATAGACAGTGTATTTCTCCACCTATTACCTAATACTATCCATGTAAATGATGGTTGAATACCGTGCTCTCGACTGAAACTTGGCACTGTGTTCACATTTTAGGTCCTCTTAGGGCATCTCCAACGTTGTATGTCAAACTCCTCGTAACCGCACGGTCCGGACAGTTTAAACCCTACAAGGCTGTCCTCCAAATGTCCGTGGACGGGTCCAAACATATGAATTCTCACAAAACGGAAGCAAACCGATAGGAGGTTTGCAGGTGGCCGAACCTATGCCACGTACACTACTGACTTCCTAGACCCACACAGCTTGTGGCAGATTAAATAACTCCGGCAATGGGCAGATTCAACTGGATCTATATTGCGTCTTCTACCGGTACTTTTGTGTTAAAGACGACAAGGGCAAGGGCACAACAACCGGCGCTGAAGCCCAAACCGCCCAATAACGTGTTCAGCCTCTCAGGAATCCCCTGCCGAGTCCATCGTCGTTCTCCTCTAAATCCACGTTGCTGAGCCACCCTCCGTGCCACCGCACCACACGCTGGTGCTCCTTCTTCTAACACTGCGCCGCCTCTGCGTGACGACTGCCACTTCGAGTCTGCGGCACATCGGTGCTGCGCAGCCGCCACTACCGGACTCGCGGTCTATGCCTACGGCCAGGGGCCGTCGGCATAGGCCCCTAAGCCGTCGGCATAGATCTATGCCGACGGCTGCCGTCGGCATAGAGCCGTCAGTGTAGATCACGTCAGCGTACTCCTGTCAGACCGTCGGCATAATAATGCCGTCGGCATAGGGGGCTATGCCGACGTCCCTGGCGCAACCGTCGGCATAGTTTAGCCGTCGGCGTAGTTTTCCGTCTGACGGCCACGGACGGCGCTGTCAAAACTGCTGGCGGCTCAGGAGGCGACACGTGGCAAAGATATGCCTACGGCAAAGCCGTCGGCATAGATTTAACCTATGCCGACGGCTTTGCCGTAGGCATAGCCCTGCCACGTGTCACCTCCTGGTGGCTCCTGAGCTTATCTATGCCGACGGCTTTGCCGTAGGCATAGTTTTTTTTAAAAAAAAATTTTGTTTTTCCTGTTTTCTCTTTTCCAATTCATTTGACAACATTTCAAAACAGAATAATATGAAATATGACAGTTCATCAACATCATTTAAACATAGTCAAGTTCATCGTCTAAAGATCACCGGCGAAAGTCCACGAACATAAGTAGTGCAAGACATGAAACATCATAAAAGTTGAAACATGAAAGACATGGCACAACGGCCGCATACACGGAATCATCATCGACATCAAGCACCACCGAGTCCACCTCCGCCAAAACCACCACCACCACCGAGTCCACCTCCGCCAAAAGCACCACCTCCGCCAAGTCCACCTCCGCCAAAACCACCACCAAGTCCACCTCCGCCAAAACCGCCACCGCCAAGTCCTCCTCCGCCAAAACCGCCACCGCGACCACCATCACTCTGCCAGATCGGAGTGACTGGGGTCGACGGAGCAGGAGTCGAGCCACCGGTCCCCTACATGTTTGAAAGAAGTTTCTAACGGTAAATATGACATGATAGTGTTGAATGAACGAGAACTAGTTTCTCATTAGTTAGGCAAATTTACTAACCGGAGTATCACCGCCTAGTGCCAGCCATTCCTCGAACGTGGGAATGTGTGGGGCGTCTCCCGCAGGTGGTGGTGGGGGTCCAACTTGTGGTGGCTCCGTGCGGTTAGTCCAAGACGCCAACATAGCCTGGATGTTAGTTAAACAAGTCCACTTAGAAACAAGCCATGATCAACAAAGTCAAAAGGAATGAAAGTGCAAATTTGAGCTTGGTTTAAGAGGGCAAAACTAACCGCCATCACTTGACGGCTGTAATCATCGTTTGCCTTCACTCGTTGCAAGTACTCCCTCACCTCAATATGCCTATGCTCAAGAAAGGCCTGATATGCCTACAAAATTGAGGTTGTTTCTAAGTGGGCAGTGATGAAAATAAACTAAGAAAGATAGAGACAAAGAAGATAAGGGGAAGTACTTACAGCACGTTGGCGGACTAAGGGAGGCTGCGAACGCCCCGTACTCTCTAACGGGCTCGGGTTGGTAGCTTGAAGCCGTGTGTACGAGATCGACGGAGTGATCAAGCCATCGAAACACGGATACCGGCCATGGGACTTACCCTGGATGACCACCACCGCCGTGTCGTCGATCTGAGACTGGGCGACCTCAGGAACGGGAACATCCGGATGCAACTTCTGATAGTTCTGAGTGTAAGACTGCAGGTGTTGCTCGGTCTTGCCGTAGTACTGGCTCTCGCCCTCCTTGCGATCACTCCGCTCGCGGGCCAGCTTCCACGACTCCATGTCTGAGAGCGGCCTCTGCAACTTGTCCTCCTGCAACGTCAAACAGAAGTTAGCCATACATAAGAACATGACAGTAAAGAAGAACCAAAATGCATCTTTTATATAGATATACCTTCATGGCCTTGAAGCCCCAGTGGTTCCTGTTTCCTTGGCCGTGTGTCCCGTCTTTTCCACGGTTAGCCCGGGCCTTGATGCTCTTGGCAACAAACTCTGGATCGTCACCGACCCACCTATCCACCAAACACGCCCATCCGTCATGCCTTCCATAGCACCAACGAGGAACAACCTATGCAAATTTTGGAAGCATGACATGTGAGCACGAAACATATAGTTGACTCCTTGAAACAATGAAAAGTCAGTAATAGTTACCATCATGAACTGCTCCCTGCTCATGGTAATTTTTTGCCTCTGTGCTTGAGTTTTGGTCATCTTTTGTTGCAGGTAGATGTGGTAGTACTGTGAGACGGCAACCCAACGCACCTCGTACTGCAACTGACGAGCTTTCTTCTTTGCAGACGCAAGTAAGACCACATCGGCTCTGGCCTTGTGCTTGTCAAGAACTCTATAGAGTTGCTGCAATCATGCATAAACCAGAAGCAAACAAGGCATGAGTTGAGTGATTCAATGATAAACTATGAACGAAACTAAAGACAAGTGATTCAAAAGGGAACTTACCCAAAATTTGGTGATCACGGCCTTAGCGGCCGTCCCGTACTCCGCATTGCTGCAAGCCTCGTAGTGGGCCCAGCTTGTGGCCAAAACACGCAGCTGTGGGTCCCTGTCTGGCCGCGGGCAGAATAGGCCAGGCCAAAACTGCTTCAACAGGACAGTGAGAAGGCCGTTCGGTTTACAGCCCTTTCCGTGAAGGATCCAGTTACTGCAAAAGAATCAAAGGGTTGCCATGTGTACAATAAAAAAATGTTGTCATGTGTTGAAAGTATGATTGAGATGCACTTACTCTGTCCCCGCAGGTTCAATGAGCCACTTGTGCGCCTCGATAGAAGGTGGTGTAGGTACTCCGGCATTACCACGCAGCCAACCCTGCGGAGCACCCGATGGCAAGTCACCCCACAACTCGGGGTCAACCTCCCCTCCACCCTCCTCGCCCTCCTCGGCCTCCTCCTCCTCGGCCTCCTCCTCCTCGGCCTCCTCCTCCTCGACATCAGGAATATACTCCTCCTCAGACTCAGAAGCTGCATCAGCATAGGAGGGCATCGAAGAAGACCCTCCTATTTCGGACACGTCCCGGAGTTTTTTGGCCCGGTTGCCTCTCCCTGCACCTCCTCGTCCTCTAGGGGCTCTCCCCCCACCCCCTCCTCCTCTAGGGTCTCCTCCCCCGACCCCTCCACCTCCCTGTGAGGTGCCATCCTCGCGTAGCCGGGAGGGAACCTTGTGGGCTCGTCCACTCCGAGTAAGTCCTCCTTTGAGTTTACTGAGGAAACTGGCACCGCTGGACTTGCCCATGATTAGCAAACCTGCATTGAGAAGAGAATAAACAATTAGTAAGGATATAAAAAACAAACATACAGGAAAGACATTAATAACGGAAGAGAACATTATTAAAAGAACATACATTTTCTAGAACCCATATGAATCATCACTATTGTAATCTATTTGTCGACCGGTCTCATCATCACTATCCCGCATATCTTCTTCGTTGTCTGACGGAGGTGGAGGCTCTTCCTCATC